TTTTGAATTGAACATGAACCAAATAATTATAAAGTAAAGGATGGTAGTAAATATAAGTGGTAGGTATTGCAATGAAACTTCAACGGTCAATTTGTTTTCTCTGTTATTAACATTAGAGAATAATATTACAGTTTCATATTTACATGTATACAATTTCTATATAGCTTTGCGCCATTTGGCACTCGTTATTGTGAGAGTACTGCCCTCTATTGTACATGGTATTCCTTGAAATATCAATTTGTTTATATTAATTAAAAAAATTCTCTAAACTTTTCATCGAAATGGAAGACACGTTTCCAAGGATTACCTAGTAAAAAAAAACTTCATTTACAATGACAAAATCTATATTAGGATTGCATTTAATGCGTTCCAATGTCGATTATAAAGTTTCGTCATTGTAAAGTAACGTAGCCTACTTTACGTAAATCTGTTAAATATTTTCACAGGGCAGCATACGTTAAAGCATACGTATCTACAATTTATACTCTTTATATGTATTTAAGTAGCTTAAATCGGCGGAACAAATTGTCTTAATAAATTTTATGGGCAAATAAAAAAAAAGATACGTATATTTCAAAGTATGGCATATTTTCGATAAAACTGCGACAACATTAACAAAATTTAATTTTACGTACTTACAAAAATAAGCGCAATCTATGGTTTTTCGATTATAGCTGAATATTATAATTTTTATACTGGATTTCCTAGCGCTGCAAGGATAACATCAATTTTTACACACCCACATAATATGCGAATCTTATTTAGCAAACAAATTAACCTTATAGCAAAACAAAATTTTATTTTTGTAAAATAATACTTATACAACATCAAAATGTTTAAACTATTGCCAATCGAAACGATTAGCACATGTGAATGTTTGAAGCTTGATGCGTTTTCTCACGGTGCAATATATTGATGCAATATTGCTACAATAAATTGCTGCAATATTGCATGGCAGTTAAAATACAAATAATTTTTATAAAGCTTGTATAAAAACTGCAATGCAATATTGGAGGAATATATTGGCTATAAACCGCTGCATTGCAGCCATTTATTTCTGCAATATATTGCACCGTGTGAAAACGCTCAAACACTGTTCTGCTGCATAAGAAACACAAATCTATTAGGTTTTAGAGCGGTAAACTCAAAAATCAAGATCGTTGAACGATAATTTGTATAAATGTATGTTTAAATATTTCTTAGATTGCGTTTATGAAAGATCACATTGAATAGGCAAGTTTATCAGTGTTTTCTTATCAAAAACGACAAGGCACACATACATATATAGTTCTTCGGAAATAAAACAGCAAAATTTTATGTCATTTAAAATATTTCGAAAAGAATCTGATAACCCAATACAAACGCTATTTTAATAACAAAAATTTTCAATGAACCACTGTAAATGTTAGTGAAAAATATAACAGCGAAAATTAAATGATTAATTAAGAATAAAAAGTTTAAAAAATATTAAGTTTACAAATTTTATATAGATATGTATATCGAAATGTTCTGATATACCAAAAATTTTGTAATGATAGTAATTGAAAGTCAACATCAAATTTATTATTTTTTATTTTTGTAATAACCAACAAGTTAATTCGTTACTTATTTTCTATATATACAGACTATGATAAAAATAATATCGACGAAGTTTTTCGAATATCCTGAGCAAATAAGTATTTCTCAATTAACATTTCTGATTAGATTAAACATATTTTAACCATATACCCGACCATTCTATCGACCGAACTATATTATACAATACACTTTTATGTACGTATTTAAAAAAATTGTTTAATACATAATACAAAAAAAATAGTGAATATCAATGAAATTTCCGCAGAACTGTTATTTAATATTTTCGCCAATTATAGAAATTTTAATATTTTTAAATATTTATTATTATTGAATAAAACTCGCCTATTTTCAAGGTGATCTTTAACCTATTATGTATTAATCTAATCGCCCATAGTTTTCTTTTTAAATAAAAATGCGATATAGATAGTTCGTTTGTTAAGTTTTGTAAGTTGTATACGTAAATAGCGTACTAACAATTTTTATATAAAAATGCTAAAACAGAATGTCTCTGGAATTATACAGTTTCAAATTATAAAAAAAAAATATTCATAGGTACGGCAAACCAACAATTCAATAATGTACAATATGTAATTTTTTTATACATATCAGTACCCGTTCAAAATGCTTTGAGCATACACTGCCTTATATAATTACATATATATTTCCACCACATAAGTAAATCTGTATAATAATAAAAAATAAATAATTTTTCAAAAATATGTCGAACAATAATTCCAAAGACAGGTAAACACGCATACGCATCTCAAGAAACACTCCCTCTCTCATACAATCAGTCACTGCAAATTGGTCTTATCTAACAGTCTCAAATATTGAGCATTTATCGGCTCCACACGAAACATTCAAAATTGGCCGCAACGTTTTCCTTCAATCTTCATGTAAAAGTGCTATTTTCAAATAAAATCATTGAGCAAGTTTCGCAATTTTCCGCCAGGAAATAAGCAGGCCACCTTGAAAGCACTGAAGTTTTCTTTTAGCTATTCGATCGAAAGGGAAAAAATTGCTTTTAAAAAGACCAATTCAAGCGACTTTCTCAACTCTGGACTAGATAATACTGGAGACCCGCGGTGGTCACTGGTGCCCGGCCATCAATAAAATTACATTCTATAAGGGAAGGACTTATTGGTTGTGCGTCCAACACAGTCTCGGGCCAAATTTTTCACGAAAAGTTGAAGAAGAAAAAATCGATTTAGATTACGAGCGTTTTCACAAGGTGCAATATTGCATTGCAGTTAAGATGAAAACGTTTAAATAATTTTTATTAAGAGCGTTTTCACATGATGCAATATATTACAGCAATAAATTGTTGAAATATAGCAGTGCAGTTAAATTACAAGCGTTCAAATGCATAGTTTTCACAGGTATGCGATACAAAAATTTTTATTAACGCTTGTATAAAAACTGCAATGCAATATGCAATATATTCCACCTTGTGCAAGGTGTATATTGCAATAATGTGCAATATATTGCTTGGTGTGAAAGCGCTCTAGCAGTCCATCTTTTACAAAACATTACTAAAAAACTTCATTACATTATACGAATTTAATAATGCAACATTCAACATCTGTTACCAACTTAATAGGGTTTTTATTGTCTGCTCCTTTTCGTACAAAAATAATCCACTTAATTCAAAAATTTCCTCGAATGTTAACGTAAATGGGAATATCCTATTTACGAGATATTCAAGGAAACGAGCGTATATGTAAGTACGTTATGAGGTTCATTCATTTTTAAAAGAAATAAATCAATCCCACGCATAGTTTCACCAGAATTCCACTACACGTATAATAATTGTACAGACGGCAAACATTTTGGAGAAGAGCAAAGCCTACGCCGTTTTTAAACATGCTACATCTTCCTACGTGTCGTACGATTTCCCAATGTACTTAATAATTCAATTATATTAAATTCCGTGTAATGAATTCCTAATTTTAGAAACGGATGTAGGGATATTTTGAGAGCATTGAAGTTATTGCAAATTTACAGGCGCATATAGCCGTATTATTGCCACAACGAGGTAATGCAGGCAATGAAAAACGCTCCACGCTAAAAGAGAGATTCGGTATGTGAGATATACTCAATTTCAATGGAGAGGAGTACGACTTTTTTTATTTTTGTATAAAACTACGTATTCTTATTAAGTCATTGGTGAAATTTTTAATTTTCTCCGTTTCCTATCAAGGCCACAATTAATTTTTAAAGTTTGAAATACGTCAAAAGTCATTAACCAATCACAATTAAGAATTGGGTGGTAAAAATCGTTTTTAGCGACGTTGTCAACTATCATTTTACTCATGTGGCATCATCGAATGTATACTTGACTTTTTAAACTTGTCAAATTAATAAAAACAAAAAATTAACCTCCAAATAAATCAGCTTATACAATTTTAAAATGTCGCATCTAATAAGTTAAAACTTATTTCATTTCGTTTTGGTAAAATTCTTCATTTTATTCTAAAAAAGTGTTTATTTTTGGTCTAAGAAACTTAAAATAAAAAAAATTCAACAACATAACCCTAGATATGTCATCTGTCATTCGATGTTACATTTCACTTTTGTTCGTTTCTTCTATTCTTCCGAACATTCCGTTCGAATTCTTATGCCATTAATGATAGCATGTAACTAGTTTGTTTTGTGATTGGTTAGTGACTTTACACGTCACCTGTCAAAATTTCCTAAAATATTGAATATTTTCAGCAACTGAACATTGATTCTAGTTCTAATGACTTATTTCTATTCATATATCTGGTTAAAAACCGTATATCTCACATCGTACTGCTCTCCATTTGACAAACGGAAAGAGATTAGAGATAGATTCTGAAAGTATCAGATAAATTCTAGAAGAGCATATGGAGAGATAAATTACTACGAAGAGATTCAGTCAAATCAGTTTAAGATGAAATTAGGTAATAATTAAGTGTTGGTTATTGAAAGTAACGATGATTTTTAACAAAATATTTTGTGTACCCAACGTTCTTTAATTTTTATTTGAGCGTAGCATATGGAAACGCTCAAAGTTGATAACAAATTTTGAATTCAGCATTAATGTACTATCGTTTTAATTGCATCAACATTCTCAGAAATGATTTTTGCTCATTTATTGTAATGATAAATTAATGTGCTTACCATTAAAAACATGTCGAATGACTATTTAATAAATTTATCAGGATCGTAATGGATTTGCAAAAGATTTGTACGAAAGTTAAAAAAAAAATCGTATCGTCGAGTTTGTTCTTCAAAATTTCAAACCGTCATTTCCATCGAGGGCACTCAGTAGAGAAGCACGGAATATCATTATTATGAACAGTTAGAAAATACACTTATTTACAAAAAAAAAAAATAAATTAATAGTGTAATAAAGTTAAAATAGTAGGTACACATGGGCAGTCGTGATAAATCGCGCACTAAAAATCCGAACTCGAGTCCAGCAATCTTTTCTCGGGGGTGGGCAGAGGCGGCCTGCACCTGCAACCAGTCCTCGAATGGCGGGCATAACAAGCCTCGACCGCTCGCTTGCACCCTTGCAGGGGCCAATACAGCCACAAGCAGGGCAGCACGCACGACAGGGTGGCCAGGCAGCTCCATCTAGCCGCCCTCCGTTCGGGACCGCACCCGCACGGATCGTCCGCACAACTCTCCCCGCCGTCCGTATCGCTGCAATGGTAAAACAGTCCTTTGACACAACACAAACAGCTCGCGTAGTCGATGACACTATCGGCGGATATGAGACAGGCATTGTTGCAGACCCATTTCTGCGGCAGCGGCCGCGGCTGCTGGCAGGACTCGCAGCGGCACCTGCCGCATTCGGGGCACATGATGGATGGCGTGGTCGCGCATTCGGGCGGCGGCTCCTTGCTGAAGGTGGCCGGTTGCTTGCTGATGGTGGGCAGCACGAGCCGCGTGGGCCGGTGGAGGCCGCGGGCCGGATGGGGCGGCGGCGATGGAGTGAGAGGCGCCGCCGGCGGCGGCGACGTCTTGAACGGCGTCTCGACGTACTCGTTGGTGGCGCGTTCATTTTCGGGCCGGGGAACGGTCAGAGTAACGGGCGGCGCGGGCCTTAACGGTGCCAGTGGGGCCGTGACTGGAGGAATATTCATGATAGGCGCCCGCGGACGGTGAGCGCGCGGCAGGGACGTGACCCTTCCATGGTTAGCCATGTGGTCGGAATTAACGTCCGAACCAGCCTGCACCGTGGTCCGTCATCGTCTCCAGCTGGAAAAGAACAAAACCATTTTAATAAAATTACTAGATAGAGTAAGTGCGCTAAATATGGACCGGATCTCACACATGCAAGGTCTCAATTTCCCTACAAGCTCGGTTTTTGTTCATGTTTCAGTTCAGTTTCAATCTCAGTTTGTTTCTTGGCTAATTGCTCAGAATTGTAGGATAAGGTTATTAAAGAGAAGATAATTAAAGATTTGAACTGTAACCAGCATCGCTACAAATTGCTCCTGATATGTCAACAAATAAAGTGCGCCAAATATGGACCGGTCTTATAATATGGAAATTTGAGAGAGTTCCTTCCCATTTTCCATAAAAATACACCATATTGTAAATTCGATCCACCAAAATAAAAAAAAAAGCACCAGCTGGTCAGTATTTGTGACTTACATCACAAAAACTGAGGTAAATTTGCTGACCTATTGAAAATATGAGACGTTTTTATAGGTACACATGCAAGGTCTCAATTTCTCTGCAAGCTCGGTTTTTGTTGATGTTTCAGTTCAGTTTCAATCTCAGTTTGTTTCATGGCTAATTGCTCAGAATTGTAGAAAAATGTTATTAAATAGGAGATAATTAAAGATTTGAACTGTAACCAGCTTAGCTACAAATCGCCCCTGATATATCGACTAAATAAATGCGCCAAATATGGATCGGTCTTATAATATGGACTACCGCCATTTTAAGAAGAACGTGCTTTATATCGAGTAAATGATCATCAATGATCATCTTTTTTAGTTTTCTGCAACTTTTATTGAGAAAAGTGCTTATAGTGATCCATATATGGCGCATTTACTCTAGACACTTAAAACAAATACAATCTACAAATTAAATAATTTAATAATAATTCAATTATTTATATCGAGATATACTAGCAAGGTCCTGATCTTTTAAACCAAAAACAAATTCATTAATACAGCCCAAGCCAATAGTTTATAATTAAAAAGTCTATAATAAATTCAAGATAAGTATACAAGAAAATATTATGTGTAGGTTACTAACACCATCCACCGAATTTTAAACAATTCGCAATCGCAAAACATATCTATTGTTATTAGATATTAAAACATCGAAAATAACAATAAAACATTTATTGAGTTTGCAGGAAGGCCAAGGTAAATCATTTCGAACATCTATTCGTGTTTAGAAGTTGGTAATTCTTCTAAATACAAAGTTACATAACCAGTTTTACAGGATATTGTTTCTTCGGGTAGCGACTTAAATTCTGATTTCAAAGAAATACAATTCGTTCGCTCTCTTTATTTTTTATGAATTCTACGCAATACATCTCTCTTAGACAACATCTACGATTTATTATTATAAGAAAAAAATTGTTATGTAATTGCGTAATAAAATGAGCTTGTTTTGAAAGATGAACTTTCCTTAGAAATTTGATTCTTTAGCCCCCTCGCGTACCACGTCATTGTTTCCAATAATGCTCGGAATTCCTTGAATATTATTATTGTCGAGGACGTTGCCTACCAAACCAACATCAACCGAAATTCTTGAGAATAAATCAACGAAACCGTTGCGATCCTCCGCTTCCATGAATCACTTTCATTATAGCTTATGTAGTTATCGCTTCAACATTTTCACTTAGTGCATGGTCATTATTTTATTCCAAAAACCAGGTACTCATAAAAATCTAATTAAAACAAACATAATTTTGCTGAAACGAAACACATACTAGAAAGTACACTTCGCTGTCTAGGTAGAAAATGGAAAGATAATTGGTTTTAAAAAATACCTATGTTAAATACTTAATAGGTATTCTTATCAAAAAAACAACGTTTTCCATACAAATTAAGATTTACATTTTAAATATAAACTAATTATTTCAGAGAACGTAGACAAAACGTTAAAACAGAAAAACCCGCTTTATAAGGTAGTAGAGGGGTTGATTAGCCTTTAACCCTTTATTCGGATACGTCCTTCAGAATTCAGTCTAATTAAATATGCATACAGAAACCGTGGTTGGATAGCAAGTGGGTAGCAAACCCACGCGGTGAGTGGGTGCGCCGACCCGGGTCCGATTCCACAATGCGCACCTGGTTCTTTAGTTTACAGAACCGAACTTCAAATATTAAGATACTGTTATAGTGTTATCCAATAAACGTTACTGGGCAAAATTTATTAGCAAAATAAAATTTTATGTCTTGTAATTTTCAACGTATTCTGGTTTTGGTAGATGCTTTCATATTTATTTGGGATTTATTTATATTTTAAAACCATATGAAATACATTTTTATCAATCTGGACGAAAATTTCCGCTTATTTTGCTTGCCAAAATGTTATCGAATAGCGAGATTTTATCATTTTCACGTCGGTGGACTGTTATCAATTTATAAAGCTAAAACATAATACTTTCAAATCTTGAATAAGGTTATAGTCAAATTAAACTACAATTAAAACAACTACCAAGTAACTGGAAGAAGTTAAAAGAACATTTAATATCGATTTTGCTTCTTACAATAATTTCGAAATTCCTCCAACATATTTACAGCAAGTGAAATAATTTACGACTTCCGGTTCGTATTCACATATTTTAATCCACTATTTATCAACGCCCACTTTCCAAAAATAAAAACAATCAATAAAGATTGAAAGAATTAACAATAAAATGCGCCTAACTGTAATATAAAGTCGCCGGATATCAGTACAAGTTCACACTAGTGAATAAACCAAGAAATTTTATAAAACTTAGGCAGGGAATTTTCTCAACCAAAATCACTGAAAGTCTACAAGCCAGCCAGGTGTTCTTAAAAAATCCTCACCGCATAATTTCACATCGATTTGGATTTTTATCTCGTTTCGAAATCTTAAGGATTCAGTGGTCACTGTTAAAGAGGTGTTAAAGAAGGAACGACTCGCAACAGAAGGTAAATGAACACAGGTTCGGTTTGAGATTAAATCCCAAGGTTAATTGATAATGAGAAAACTCTCGATAAACCTCTGAGTGCCAGAAAAGACGCCATTAACCAACAATAAAACTACGATTTAAAAGAAATACTGCAGGAAAAGATTCATATTTGCATTATACATATGAACGTTTTCAATCATTTTTATCGTTAGTCCTGTTCATTGGTTTTATCTCGAATAACAAGGAACATTGCACTATAGGCGTTATATTTTTTTTAAATCTTTCGTTTATTTATCATTAATGTTGAGTAATAATATGAATGATTACATATTACAAAAAACATTTTATTCAGGTAATATGTTAATTATTTTATGAACGGAGCTAAAAGATAATTGAGCGCGTTATGTATAACAAGTAATTAAATTTTCATTCAGTTAAATTCCAGTGCTATTGAATGAACGAGATTTACAATGCGACAACTATAATTAACCTGATTGTTTGGTATGATAACAATAGCAATGTAATAATTTTTATTAATAATAGAAAAAACGTGCATTCCCTGGTCATGATTAAACGATTTTTTATGTAATAACTATATTATGATAAATCAATAAAATAAATAGACGAATTTTTGTGCAAAGGATTTAAAAGCACATTTGCCGGTATGTGTGACACTTTCTTATTGTTATTAATTTTTATTAAAAACATCTATGTAAACACCTCGAAAAATCATTAGAAACTCTTAAAAATTACTAGTGTAAGTATAGATTTTGTTTTCCATTTTTATCATCTCTTAGAATACTTTATAGGTATTAATTGACACTACTATCAAAATTATTAATTATTAAAAATTATTCTGTATGATCTAGGTATTGATATAAACATTGTTTTTAAATTATTCATATATGAAATTGCATACAAATGATTAAACAAAGTTTTACATTCAACAGGATGTTTATTAAGCCTTTATTATAAATGCCAAAATTTTGAGGAAATAATAATGTAATGACGATAAAAAATTCTCGCATCAAAAAAAACTATGCTCATCAATCCAATCTATCACAAAGCTCTTACGAATGAAATAGTTTTTTAGCCGATTCGCGGTTTATGTCATTAAAATGCCGTTGTTTCCGGTCGATTCTAACAATTGACAATAATGTATAATTTAAAACAGGTTATTCGAACTTGTTATACTTAGTTTTATTAATTCATAGGTATAAACAGATATCTACTACATTTCAAATGTATACCTAACATTCGAATTACCGACTAACGAATTTAACAAGTTGAATTAAACATTCACGCAACATTAAGCAAATGTAAACAATATATCGGTAACAATGTATAACTGCTTATGTAAAGGCAAATTATGTAGGTATATGCATAAAGTGAACAGGGAAAATATTCTTAATATACACAGTAGATCGAAGCACGATGAAAATCAGCATAAACTCAAAGGCAACCAAAATGAAATTCACACAAAATACTCGATGCTAAACCCAGTGCAAATACGCTATGCAAACATGTATGTTATGTGAACTGATAGGGTAAGTTGTTGATTCAAATGGATTTGTGTCAAATACATCCCAATGTCAAAACTAACATCGATATGCAAACGAGATGAAACCAGAGAATTTATATCATAGAGAAGCTAAACGACGGGGTTTTAAATGGTATGGTTTTTATACTCGCATGCGCGAAATAAGTTGTCTTCATTCATAATTTACGTTGATTGCCAAAGTTGTATTTAGTCAGTCATCTGACGTGAAGTAATATTTAAACATAAAATATACGTAAATAAATAGAAAACATAAATCACATTATAGTATATGCGCATGGACTATTCATAAAATTCGCCGAAATAGTTCGCTCAGTGTACAAAATACCAATTTTCTCAGTGTATTATGTTGTCGAAAATTTGTCCAATCGAAATCAATGGAAACGACAGTCTCGTTTCGCTTCTCTATGAAACTGTTTAATTTACTTATCAACTATTTTATTACTCTAACTCTTTATACATCTAATTGTATGGGGATTAATAACTATAATCAAAATGTAAAATGTACCTAGCTTGATACTACTACTTCTATGATCATTACCATTCATTCAATACGTTTCAACAGAAAACATTAAGCATTGTATAAAGTTCAAGTTCAATATCGACTAAATTTGTTGCAAAGTTCAATTTATCACAATATCAACGCAAATAGGCAGTATTTAAATACTTTAGTGATATTAATTCAACCAACAACACCAACGTATAGTCCTATATTAGATGTTAACAAAATTTAATTCGAACAAATTGACTTTGACTTCAAAGAATATTAAAAAATTTAGAAGAGCATATATCTTTTATTTAACAATGTACCTTCAGCTTTTTAGGGTTATAATTCTGTAGTACTATAATTAAATTAACATCATGGTTTGGAGTAGAAAAAGTGTGGCCACCCAATTTGAATAAAATGAAGAGAATGTATGAGAGATTCAAGCAGTGAATGAAAAGATGTAACCCAATAGGAAAAGAGAGACCAAGACAGTATGCATATTGTATCAATATCTAAATATTATCTCTATCTATGTATAAAATAAATATAAAACCGGAAAATAAGGACATCGGAAGTTCATAAGCATCCGAGGCTTTTGTAAGATCTAATTGACAAAAAACATCGGAAAACTTTGCCGTTCAAAACGTATATCTTGCCATGACATCTCAAACTTTTTGAGTATATTTTCGACGAAAGGAGGTATTTTTTGCAAAACAGGTTATTCAAACAATGCACTAAGGGTGGAATTTACACAATTATTGAGCGAGACGAATTTTCAATGGCAATCTTGTGGTTGAAATCCGACTCGTCCTGTATCAAAAATAAATATTTTACAACCAACGCTTCCGGTAGAGTATCTATGTTGCAATAACGAAACTTTCTATACAGAAAATTTGGAGTAACTTTTGTACACGATAAGTCGAATTTGTCAAATTGTAAATAAATCGTATTTTCGATAAAAACGTGTAGGTAGGTGATATTTTTCCGTCATATCAATGCGAGTGTTATTAATAGATCTGTTGTGATTTTAAATGTCCAATAATAAAAAAAAATGAGAAATTCCCGGTACCGCAGTTTCAAAATTAATTTTATATCAGAGGCTAATTTCGGTAACCGGCAATACGATTTTCGAAATTGCATGGATTTTTTACAGAAATCAAATTTTTATAGGTCGTTAAATTTAAGTGAAATGTGCCACTTGGGAAAATTATGCCAAATCATAAATTACTTGAAAATCCAATAAAAAGTAGGTAATTTTTTGGACGAAAACGATTATGCATCGGTATATGCATGAAATTCGGATACTTGTGCTCGGATTAGTAGCTAGTTATGCGAGAAACCTAGATCTCATTTGCAATCGCTGTCTATGACTTCCGTCGCACTTATGTATGTAGGTACATATCAAATAACGTAGAAGCTATTAACTCCAAGACGAGAATAATATAGTGAATGGAAAACACACCCACACACCTCAATGTCATACACATACAGGTGGATCTAAAATTAAGGTCGCACTCGAGACACGTTCCCCCAATATGGATCATAAAAAAACTCACTGTATGCAACTGTACACTGCGGAAACGTAAGGCTCCCAATTCACTGTATTCTCCTTCCGATGATAATCCAACATTTTCACACGAGTG